AAGTACATAATGATCTCAATCTGATTATAAATTTCAGAGTAACTTTGGTTCTGAATGGGATAGGATCCTTATCGTAACCTTTTGGAACATGAAAGGAAAAAACAATTTTGATATGAGCTTTCGTTAGTTGTCTTTCCAAAAGGTTGGATAACTGGTTGTTAGCTCTAATAACTAGTTAATTAGGATCCACGTTTTAGTGGCTTTCTCGTATAGGAAGAGCCGCCTCTCTCTATCAAAGGAAAAAGGAAATTTTGAAAAATTAGATGTGGTCAATAAATCAATCATGGAGTTTTCTCAAGGCCAAATATAAAAGCTAAAGAACTTGTCAGTATCCGACGGAAAAGAGTTATAACGCGTTTGCTTTAAAACTCTAAAAAATTATTTATTATAGAAATAATTTCGTATTAAATAATTGGGAAACTTTTATTTTTAGTCTAATAAAATTTATTTTTGGCCTAACTCAACCCCGAAAATTAACTCGAGGATTGACAACAACTCGTTCCCTCAACCAACGTGGGACAATCTAACATTCTCGAACGTCCGGTCCTAGTTAATTGAAGCGTGGACAACGTTACATGCAGCCCAATATTGGATAAATCAAGAGTAAAGATATTGGATCTGATTTTGATACCATATTGAAATGTTTAATCATCTCATTTAAAAGGTTAAATTGTAGAGACAATACATTTTAAGATTGTTACATATTTTATACTGGAGCACGCATAAATCCTAGGGTTGAGTCTCACCCTACCCATTATCCACCCAAAAAGTAAATTGCGTGTTTGAACCATATTGAAAAGGATCAAAGCTATGTGAGGGGCACGTTGATGATGTAATTAATTAAGAAACAAAAGTTTATTTATGCTAACCGCTTAAAATTTTATATAAGATGGTCACACACTACTAAGAATTTGGTGGAAAAATATTTTTTTCAAAGTAATGCTTATTATTTTTTACGAGAACTCTTCTTCAGGCTTTTTTTTGTATCAACTGACATTTCAATGAATCGTGTATATTAACATATGGAGAAGAGTTGGTGCCCATGCAAAATAATGGGTTGACGAAAAGTTGGCGATGAGGTATTCACAATAATTTGAATGCTTTGCCTTTACTCTTTAGAGCGGGAGGAAAATGACAAGAAAGAAACCGATAAGAAGATGAAGGAAGAAGGAAAAGTTTCCATCAAAGATAGATTACCACGTAAAACATAATAGTATATGATTTAGGAGAGATTAAAAATATGGAATATAAAAGCAAATCTTGAGACGGAATGGAGATGTACTTCAGTTTAACTCGAAAATAGCAACAGCAATCATTGTAATTATGTTAAGAAGATCGCTCATAGATTGTAGTGCGATAGACTTCAAAAGTAATTTTAATTTGACGGGTTCAACTTTAAGAATTCTTAATACTTAATTTAATATATTTTTAAATTTATGGGTTCAAAAAATATTACGTTAGGTTGAACCAATAGCACTAAGGTTACATTCACTACTGTCAAATACCTCCAATAAATCAAAGCTTTTCGGGGCATTTTTGGCCCGTCCTTCTCATGCTCCGTGACAACGGCGGTATCCCTAATAGAGGGACCATTCTTCGTCACTAGTCATGGCGTGGCAGTCTACTTGCAATTGCAAAAACTCTCACTGTACGGCTCTGCAAGATACTAAAGCTATCCTTTTCCAAAAATCATTGTTTTCAGACTTTTCCTATTAATTATTCCATAGCTAGGAGAAGGACGTAATCTCAGCTTTGGCTGCAGTCTAGAATGGCTTACCAAAAGAGCATAAATCAACAGAATAAGCAAATGCTGCCCATTTTTAAACCAATCAAATAGTCAGAAAGAATCAGTTCCTGCCCCACAATTATCACAGCAACACATAATCAAGAAATGACAAAAGCACAATTGTAACATAATGGTCTATTTTACAAACTATAGCGCTACGGACAGTGAGACCTTGTTATACTAATTTTGGGGTTAGCTAGGACTAGCTCATCGTATAGCCCTTAAATCAACATAATTCCCTTATTTCCTTTCTTTTTTCCGTTGTTATAAGACGTAAGATTATATTATTCTCTGCCCCAAAGAGAATAGTAAGATTCGGAATGAGNATATATATATATATATAATTTTCTTGTAGTATCATCCCAGGGGACGAAGTAGAGTAGTAGCGTTGGCCGTCGAGTTCATCTGAACCCAGTACTTTCGACGCGAAGCATAAATATTCACTAAAATTGCAAGTGATAAGTCTGAACCAATAATTTCAAAATACAATGAGTTCAATGCTAATTAAGAACCTTTAAATATTAAACTCAGAGAGGACGGCTTAAATGGCCTAAAGCCAAACTCAAATGAGAAAGGCTTTTCCTATTAGTCCCTTGCTTTATCGGCCTTACCTTTCAGTCGCCCAAATCATATCAAGTAATATAGAAAGAAACTCATGAATATAAATGAAAAGGGCAACGTGGAAAAAAAAAAAGATTTGAAACTTCTCACTCTAACAAGAAAATCGAATTTCACAAACTAAAGAGAAGTTTGTATTAGTTTAGATATTTCATACTAAGTAGTAACTAGTAAGTAACACTATAATATCTATATCTTAATCTCACACAAATTAGAGTCAATTATATAAATTATCACTTCTTTCTTTGAGCTCAATACAATATCATCATCATACTAAATAAAAGAAAAACTACTTCAGAATAATTTAAAATAAACTAAAGATCGTATAGGTATAAGCCAAAGAAATTTTAAAATATAGCGGAGACAAGCAATTAACATGTTGGAACCTCGCTGCAATGTGCGACTCCTCCTTTAATTTTCTCTGTTTATGCAATAAGAAATGAAACATAGATTAAATTAAAAGTATATTTGAAGAGATAACTGTTGATGCTGAGTTAGTTAATAATGATTTATATTGGACCAAAAATCGCCTGTTTCTGAAAAGATTTTTTTTTTTTTTTTTTTCAAAGACATT